TAGGATTTAATGGTCATATGTGGTCATATGTACTGTGATTGTGAAACATTTACATAATCATATGAATGGCACAGATTTTAATTATATGTCCAATGCCTCCCACATTACTCTCTCCCTTCACTTAACTTAATGAATTCAGAATTAACACAATTTTAAGCCAATGTTTTAGATCTGTTTTTGTTGTTTACTACTACTGCACTGTACTTTGATCCTTTGTTTGAAATTAATTAAATCAATATTTAATTAATTACAAATTTTAATTTAACTACATATTTTTAATGCAACCTAATTCATTATTAATGAATTACAACATTTTTAATAAAGAAAGCGATAGCTATACTGTATTCAAAACTTTTGAAACAAATAAATTATAATTTATTTGAATGCATGCAATGCAGAGAAGAGTCTTTTAATGTGCTTTCGATGCAAATTCATGACATTGCCTACAATTTATGCAAAATTCATATTTCAAACTATTTATGAGTTATTTTCAACGCTAATTAATTTCAAAAAGAAATAAATTACAATAACTATTAATTAAGTGCTAACTGTATTATGAAATTTATGATTTAATAGTCATTGTCATGAAATAAACAGATCGGTGTTTGGATTATAAAATGCGTTTTTCATTTTTATTTAGTATTCATTATAAGTTACATTGGGTTTGATGCAATTTACAATATTTGCAAAACAAAATCAGATTTTATTTTTACCCATCCATTCAATTCATTCATGCCTTTATTCATCCTATTATTTGCTTAACCATTGTGTCGGTTGCAGTCTTTGCGCAAATTCAGCAAAAAATAATCAATAAATTAGAGATTTGAAAGGTTTATTTCCAAACGGTCTGCAACCAGTCGTAACTCAATTCCAGTTATATTACTTGTAAATTGAGTCATATTTATCCTAAACATATCCAATCAATGGCACAATTAACTCAAAACGCACTGACTTTTAAAATACTAATACTGGGAGACAGTAATGTCGGCAAAACATGTATTGTCCACCGATTTTGTGATGAAAACTTCATCGATGGCTATATATCTACTATTGGTAACTATTGTTTGTGATAAATACTTTTATCGACTTTGAAAATTTTATTGCTATTATTCTCTATATTAGGAATCGATTTCAAGCAAAAATTAATTAAATTAAATGATATTCCTATTAAGTTACAAATTTGGTAAATATTAGATACAAATAAAGTCATAAATATGATTACAAGTTTCAATATTGTCTCAAAAATGAAGGGATTCTGCGGGTCAGGAGAGGTTCCGTACTCTTACCACTGCTTACTATAGGGGAGCCATGGTATGGGCCATACAAATACTAATATGTTAAGAATATATAATATAATATATAAGGTGTAATAAAAATAAATTGTGGTTTGAATATAGGGAATCATATTGATGTATGACGTGACTAATACCGACTCATTCAAACACATTCCCTATTGGTTTCACAACATAGAAGAGGTATTTATAGTTATTTACATTTCATTACTTTTATCCATCTGTTTCGAGAATATTACTTATACACTACACTGACTACAGTAGTACAGTATACTTAAAGTATTACCGTAATATAAAAACATATTTATATTAAAAATATCAATTTCAAGTTCACAACAC